CTCTTTTCAGATAAATGGTGCAGGATACTTATCCGCCCGGGCCTTTTGTAGTGCTATTACCCTTATTTTTGCTGAGGCACTGGGAGACCCATTTGCTGGGCTGCTGCACTGCTACTCCCCAACTTTCTTCTACTTCAGATGTTCCAGGGTTTTTTTGGGGGGATTTTCGGTTTTCAGAGGTTGATAGGGAGAGTGAGAGCAACTACCTTTTTACTCCACCATCTTGTCCCCCAATTTTCATATAATTTGGTTGTGGTTTTGCTGCCGCCTTCTTCTTCTTCTTCTTCTTCTTCTTCTTCTTCTTCTTCTTCTTCTTCTTCTTCTTCTCTTCTTCTTCTTCTTCTTCTTCTTCTTCTGTCTCTTTACCCCTCCCCTCCAAATTTTTAAAAGTCTCAGATAAAAGAACAAAGATGAATCTCTTTTATCCTGTGCAATAATAGAAATCAACAGACTTCCATCGGACATGCCCTTGGACAAATTCTCTCTCATTTAGAAATGGGCAGTCATGTTTTGTTCCTCATTTTGAAAACCTGATCAGGGTTGAACACAAATTCTAGATTGCGGTGAACCATCAAGCTTTTCTCTATCATCAAGTTGTGGCTCATGTTCACTTAAAGAAACCTTCTAAATACCTTTTGAATTTAGTCTAAAACTGCCAACCTTTCACAAGGAAAGTTTTCATTTCTGCCAAAGTGTTGGTTTTATACGCACACCCCCCTGCACCTCCAACCTTTTTGTCCTTTTTTTTGTTGGCTCAAGTTTAGTGTTGAAAAAGAATAGACAGTATATAAAAATACTTTTTTTGTTTGGTTTTGAGTAAAAGTCTTCTGTTTTAGGGAAATATGATGCTTACTAAATACTTTTTTCATAAAGTTTGTTAATAACTTCTTTCTCTTCCTTCCTTCCTTCCTTCTTTCTTTCTTCTTTCTTTCTTCCTTTCTTTCTTTTCTTTCTTTCTTCCTTTCTTCTTCCTTCCTTTCTTTCTTCTTCCTTTCTTTTTCTTTCTTTCTTTCTTCTTCCTTCCTTCCTTCTTTCTTTCTTTCTCTCTTTCTTTCTTTCTTTCTTTCTTTCTTTCTTTCTTTCTTTCTTTCTTCCATTTTTCCTCCTACACTTGACAGGTATGAGAGGGATGGTGTCTCTTAGCAGCAGTTCTTTGAGATGGAGTTGAACTCAATGAGTCCTCACCACAAAAGGATCATACATTTATTGGGTTAGATCAACCTAGTTACCCCTAAGCTGCCAAGCTTGCTTTTTAATTATTAATATTATTATTTTTAGCTGGACCATATATATGATACCTGGTGCCATTTTATTTTGTTTAGTTTTTTTTTCTTTTCTTGATGACCCTGAGCACAAAGTAGCTGAGATAGATGAGTGAGGACCACATGATGTTCTGAATATGAGAGCGGCACTGGTTTTGCTGCATCCAGGAAAAATCGAGATAGTTAACTACACAACCCATCAACATCTGTGTAATCAGAAACAAGGTGATGAACATGGTGAACTTCGGTGAGACCTGGAACCCCACCGCTTGCAAGGTATAGTAGGAATACATTACTGCATGCACTTCATAGTTCATGGTCATGAACCAACCATGTCCTTCTAAAAGTAGCAAGAATAGAGCAGCACAGTGATGTGGTGACACCAATGTAGTAAGATGAGTTTCTGTTTTTGAAAAATAATTAATAGTTTCTCCAAATTCAAGTGATTTGCTTAATACAAATGCAAAAGACGCAAATTTGCTGACAGGTCCATTGTAAAAACTCTGATCACAAATTGATTGCTTCAGGCCTTTGGTCATCAAAATGTACACAATATAAGCACCAGTTTGAAGAGCAACAACTATACCCTAACCCTATATGGAAGACTGCAATGCTCAGGGACCACAGTACAAGTGGCTTCCTGACTTCCAACTTTGCCCATTTGTTCATTAGGTGCTGACCACCAAATATAAAGGCAGCATACAGAGCTGAAAATAAGAACGATTTTCTTCCAGTTCTCTTGCATCGACTGGATGGCTTTGTTCTCATTGAATTGCTTTTCAAATTCATATTCCTGAGAAGTCAACACTACATGTTCATTTGAACTGCTTCTCTGAATCCCTGCATATTCCATATAAAAATAAGTAAATTATCTGCAAAAAAGCATTTCTCCCCCTTTCTATTACTGTCTGAAGTCCTTCCCTCAACAACCTCCCATTTCTTCCCCTCCTTGTGCACCCTCTGCATCTCTCTAAGCTGCATCCTGGATTTGCCATTGCTTTCTCCTGCTCTTCCTATTCTCTTTCTCCTGTATCTGGTGTTCTTCTTGATCCTGTTTCATTTTGAAGTTTCATTTTCATTGTATTATGAGGTTCAGACACATGAGCAGACACCTTAAACTTACTTGGATGATTCCATTTCTCTACATGGAGGACACTTGGGAACTTGTTTCTGAGTTGAGGGCCGGCTCTAAGAGTCTGATCTGGGTTTAACATCCAGGACAGAATTTGCCTCTTGTCCAGGCTTAACCCACAAGGCTCAATCATTTAGGAACCAGGGCTCTCCAAATCTCTCCCTGCAAGGGAGGCTACTGAGACATTCCTTCTCACTCTTTGAACCTTAGATTTACACATTCACTCCTCTATGCAGGTGGCACCAAGGCACATGGGAAAGCCTTGGAAACTACAACCCAATCTAGGAACCCTCATAACGAGGAAATGTATGTTGTCACATCCTCAGCAGATGTTTTGGGGAGTGTCTCACGGGAAACACTCTTTGAAGTTAGGCTAGATTTTCTCTATATATCCTTTACCCTCAGATGAATAAACTGACTCAGTCTTTACTGCTCCGCCTGGCCGACGTCTCACATTTATTTTCTGCCTTCCCGTTCAGTGCACTATCTGATTGCTGGCAACATTTCAGAGGGTCTTGATGATGTGTAAAGGAAGTGTTTGGGAGAAACTATGAGTCACGTATAGACTTCCTGCCAAATATTTAGTGCAAGGGAAGCTCTTTGATGACCCTTATCGCATTCAAAAAGCCCTTTCAATATCACTACCTAGTCTTTTTCCTCTGCCCATTTTAGGAAAATCCTGGTGACTCTTCTGTTTACAACCTTCAGTGATATACCTGTTGTAAGGGAACAGGCCTTAAGTTCTTCTCCCCCACTAAAACCATCTGAGTCTGAGAAACAGGCATTACTCTTTGGTATTGGAACCAGTAAGAACAGTTGTATGAATTCATCTAGCAATATTCTGCAGCATGAGAACAGGAGTGGAAAGGCAGAAGGCAAAATTGACTCAGATGTGAGGTTAGGAAAGAGATATGCAGCAATAGGACAAAGGATTCAAGGATTCAAGAGCACATGAAACTCTGAAGTTGGAATTCTTAACTATGAGGCCAAGATTTTCCATGAATGAAAGTGCATCTATAACAGCATGGTCCCCGAATAAAGCACAGTGGAGTGATTAGAGGTTATGGTGAGAATGAAAAATACATTAGAAAGGATGAGGTATAGAGATAAGTAAAGCAATGAGGTAGGGTTAGATAGAAGAATTTTAGAGTTATAGATTATAGAGATAGAACACTTTGGGTACTAGTGACTCCAAGGGTGTGGCTATTCTTATATATGGCTGGGGTAGAGGGAAGGTTCAGATCATGACAGTGCACTACTTTGATGTACTAGGAAAAAAGGATATTTCAGAAGGCATCAACATATAAATTGTAGTCCCCAATTACAAAGTCAGGGTCAGTGGAAGGTTAACAAGGGCTCATAATGTCCCATCCTGCACAGTTTTTCAAAGATCATTGAGAATAGCGCAGCAATTACACTTAGGTCACTTAAACTGAAACACTTATCAAGCACCTAATGGTGCAAAGCACTCTGCTAGGGACTAGGGACATGAACACAAAAACGACAAATAGTCCCTGTCCTTAAAGAGCTTATATTTTACTGAATGCACATTCTTCCAGTTCCTAAGGATGAACTTTACCAGGCTGTCTTGAAATCATCAAGGTAAAGTCAAGTCATCTATTATGATGTCCTGAGGTATTTTGCTTATCAACTTCCTATTAACCATTTTGGTCATGTCCTTTGTAATCTATAAATCATTCTCATAGTCTAAGAAAATTAAAGCAACTTGAGAGTTGAGCTTCTCTGTTTTCATGTTGTCATACATTAGCTTCTCCATTTGCCCTGAGCCATTACTCACTCTACTCTTAATCTCATTCCCTTCCTTCTGATGACCATTTCCAGTTTATCCTGAATCTATCCTGTTTGTTCATAGTGATTTACGTGTTGTCTTCTCCATTATGTTGTGAGTGCCTTGGGACCAGGGATTGTCTTTTATCTTTTTTTGTCTCCCCAGGCACACATTGCTGTTATTCACTCATTCAGACATGTCTGAACTCTTCATGACCCTATAATCATAACTGTTCCATAAAGTTTTCTTGGCAGAGATACTGAAAGGGTTTGTCATTTCCTCCTCCAGTGGATCCTTTTGTCAGACAGAGCAAGGATAACTGACTTGCCCAGGGTAACACAGCTAGGAAGTGTCTGAAGCTGGATTTGAACTCAGATATTCCTGATTCCAGGCCCAACACTCTGTTCCCTCAGACACCAGCTGGCACAACATGCTAGTTGACTCAGTGATTGACTTATTTGATCCTACTTTTTTTTAAATAAAATAACTTAGAGAACACAGACACAAGCAAAAGCCTTTTGTTTTCCCTATTAACTTCAGCTCATTGCAATCTTTAGCATTCCCAGTGCTGTTATTACAGGTCTTTCCTATATTTTATAATCATCCTTTTTCACCTGGGCTTGCTTGTATCCTGTGTTTATCCTTTTTTTTTTTTTTTGCTTTTTGGTGAGGCAATCAGGATAAAGTGACTTGCACAGGGTCACACAGCTAGTAAGTGTCAAATGTCCAAAGCCAAATTTGAACTCAGGTCCTCCTGACCCCAAGACCAGAGCTCTATCCACTGAGCCACCGAGCTGCTCCTATCCTGCATATCTTTTTAAACCTATATTTTTAGTTGTCTAAATCTATATTCTGAGGTCAGGTTCTAATGTTCTACATTCTTGGTGCCCTTTTACCTCTCACATTTTCTGTTCCATATTCTAGCAGCCCTCCAGCTCTCACACTTTATGATTCTACTTCCTCTGGACTATGAACTGATTCAGTGGAAGTATTAGGACAACCAAGTTCAACCCTTCTCCCTTGTGAGTATCAACCCTTAGTACTGTTGACGAAGGCCATACTAAAACTTGTATCCGTTTCCTGACCCTAGTTAGTCTCGTCCAGGATGAAATTAGGAAGGAAAAAAAGGTTGACCTAATTCATGTTAGGGTTTACTAAGATTAGGATAATGTGTTTCTGATACATAGACCAATTAATTCTTTGGAATCTCCTTTTTCTCTCTTAGATGATCAATTAGAAGGAACAGAGGTGAGTCTAATATTTTGTTTCACATCAGAGAATTTGAATAGTTAATACTGTATGGGGGCTCTGGGCGTCCATATTGATACATTAGAAAGAACAAAAAAATTGATGTTAAAAGGTAATTAACTTTTCTTTGGGGATCTGCTATTGATTTGCTGTGTGATTTGAGTAACTCTTTTACCCCCTCTGAGCGACAGTTTCATCAACTATAAAATAAGACCATTGTACTAAAATTCTCTAAAAGATATTCTTAGGGTCCTTTCTCTGTGCTCACATTCTATATTATTTGTTCTAAGGTCTCTTGTAGCTCCAGCATTTCAACATTCATTTTTTAAAATAGTAAAGTCAAACTTAGAAAGTGGAAGTGATTAGTTCAAGGTCAGAAGACTTGAACAGGGACACCCCAAATAAGTATGAATATTGTAAGAGCCAAAGATGAAGGTTCTAAGACTCCGGTGGAATACACGAACCACTGTCTGAAAAATGGCTGCTACAGATAGCCTGGTACAAGCAAAGCTGCATTATACCTGGATACCCTCAAACCAATCTGTACCATAGATCAGAAAATAAATATGAACCAATAAATATGCACTCTGTGATGCTAATATGTGAGTACTAAATGTGAAACACTTTCTTCATTATCTTCTAATTTATGTCTCCAGAGACAGCTTATGACCACTTGGATCTATGTAGCTAAGGAAATGGATATACTCAGATTCAAAAGACAAGTCTTCCTGACTCCAGGCCTGATGCTCAATCCATTGGGCCACTAGTTAAGTGGCCTCCAATTGTCTCTCCAGACTCATTTGTCCATCACCTCCTCTCTCCAATACTCAGTGATCTAATTAAACTCTTTACTCTCTCTGTTCCAGACAATCCATTTTCCTATCTTTTTAAGGAAAGCTATGCCAATGACCATATTTGAAAGAAAAGCTTCACATGCTTCTCTGTTGCACGTTGATGTTTTTCATTGATGATTTAGCTCGTTGGAAAGTTATGGCATTTTGATTTGATGCTTGAGCTCATTTTGTACTGGCCATCCTCTATGCCTGGAATGGACTCCCCTTTCTTCCTTTAAGATGCAGATCAAATATTATTTTGCACAAGGAGTTTTTCCTGATCCTTCTGATAGGATTATTGTTATTGCACCACTTTCTACTGCCTGGGTACTCTGACCAATCCTGAACTGTGATAGCAAGCAGGTCTGTATAATTAAACTAATACCTTATGGTGGGATTACTCAGGTACATTGATAGCAAACCGGTGTGTCTTATTAAAAAATCACTTGAGGGCTGGGATTAGCCACGAGGGCCTCCGGGGTGATTGTTATTTTCAGTATTTAAACTGGACCCTGGCACTCAAAAGGGCTCAAAAGCAAAAGAGATAGGAGCAAGGAGCTCTCTTGGAAACTCTGGAGAAAAAGCTCCTGGCGGTTCTGCGCTATGAAAAGAAGGGCCTTGGCGGCTCAACCTGTGCAATCAAGGTAAAGAGAGCGAAGGTCGCAACACCTATTTTTTAACAGTTTTAGGGGTCAAAAGACTCCGGGTAAAGTGGGGAAATAGGAAAAACAAAAGTAAAAAGGCTTCAGAATAGGAGCATGAGAAAAGAAAAGAAAAGGGCTGGAGCATAACAATAGTATCCCTTTGGAAGGCCATGAGCACTTCTTAAGGTTTTGGGAGGCGCACCTGGCATTGAAAGTATGGGTCAAATACAAAGCAGAAGCAAAGACAGAGAAAATAATGTGCAACTTTTAAAAGAAAGTGAAGAAATAAGTTTTTCTTCACAGATGGTCAGTTACAGGAATTTTTGGAATGTGTAGAAACATGCTGCCCGTGGGTGCTTCAGGAAAGAAAAATCGATTTACAAATAAGGGAAACGGTGGGTAGACAAATGAGTGATTACTATAGAGAAGTACGTCCAGGTGCTTTCTCCATAGCTACATTCTCAATTTCAACCGTGCTAAAAATATGTCTCGATCCTCAAGAGGATGTGTTATTAATAACTGAAATACATAAGGCAGATTTGGGGGCAGGAACTAAGGAAGAAGAAGATATGAATAGAATATTTCAGGAAAAGCTTAGAATTGTAAAGATGTTATCTATGCAAAATGTATTAGACCTTCAGCACCACCACATCCCTCACCCTCACATAGATCAAGCTCCTACAGAAAACATAATGAGGAGATAAATAAATATCAAAAAAGCCATAAAATACACTGTAAAGGATTATTAGAAAAGGCAATTATAAAAGCAGAGGAAAAGGGACAGGTAGTACCCATGGAATTCAAATTACCTGTGCCCAAATAATGCTATTTCCAGTACATGAGGAGGAAGATGTAAATAACCCAAGTACAAACACTAGAGTTCAGAGACAGTTTAAATTTAAATTGTTAAAAGAATTAAAAGAGGCTTCAGTTAATTCCGGATCCAATAGAATATTAGCCCCATATAACTGGTATTCTATAGTAAAGATATGTCTTGCTACTGAGATTATTTCATTTGGGAATCAGAATATTGTTTTTAATATAAATGTATTTATTTTTAGTTTTCAATATTCACTTCCACAAGTTTTTGAGTTCCAATTTTTGTCCCATGCTCACCCTTTCCCCTACTCTGTCCTCTCTTCTATCTCTCCCCCTTCTCTTATCCCCTTCCCCTTCTAGTTTCCTGTAGGGCAACATAGACTTCTATACCCCATCTCCTGTATTTCTTATTTCCCAGTACCATGTGAAAACATTTTTTACATATGTTTTTACAACTTTAGGTTTCAAATTTTCTCTCTTTCTCCTCCCCCCACCCTCATTGAAAAGGCAAGCAACTCAATATAGGTTGTACATGTGCAATTATGCAAAACTTCCATAGTAGACATGTTGTGAAAAGCTAACTCTGTTTCCCTTAATCCTATCCTGCCCTCCCATTTCTTCTATTCCTTCTTTTCACCCTGTCCCTCCTCAGAAGTATTTCTTCTGATTACCCCTTTCCAATCTGTCCTCTCTATCATCACCCTGCTCTTTATCCCCTTCTCCCCCTAATTTCCTGTAAGGTAAACAGATTTCTATACCCAATTGAATGTGTATGTTACTCCCTCCTTAAGCTAGATCCAATGACAATAAGATTCACTCATTCCCTCACCTTCCCCTGCTTCCCCTCCACTGTAAGAGACTTTTCTTTTATCTTTTCTTTTGATAATTTACCCCATTCTGCCTCTCCCTTTCCTCTTCTCCGAGTATCATCTTCTCTCATCCTTAATGTTATTCTCCACACATGACCCTTTAATCTTCAACTCACCCTGTGCCCTGTATCTCTTTATCTATCTATCTATATACATACATACATAATATATTTTTTTTCTTCAACTGCCCTAATATGACAAACATCTCATGAGTTATAAATATCATCATTCCATGCACGAATGTAAACAGTTCAATCTTAATAAATCTATCATGATTTCTCTCCACATTGTCTTTCACTTTTCATTCTTTGGATTTGTTTTACAATGTCTTCATTTTTCATAAACTCAGTAGTTTCCAGTTGCTCCATTCTAATTTTAAGGAAGTGTTTTCATCACTGAGCTTTTGGACTGTTTCCATTTGGCCAATTTTGCTTTTTAAAGGCATTCTTCTCCTCATTGGCTTTTTGGACCTCTTTTGCCATTTCGGTTTCTCTAGTTTTTTAAGTGTGATTTTCTTCACCATTTTTTGGGTCTACTTTAGCAAACTGCTAACTAGTTTTTTTATGATTTTCTTGCGTCACATTTATTGCTCTTCCCAGTTCTTCCAATGGCCTGCGACCGATTCCTATTTTTCTTGTTGGCTGTGGAGTAGGAACTTTGACTTTGTTGTCGTCTCCTAGTTGTATGTTTTCATCTTCTTTGCCACCAAAAAGAGATTCTATGCTCTGACATTTTTTGCACAGTTTGCTCATGATCCCAGCCAATTACTTGAGTATTAAACTCTTTGTTAAGGTAAAGGATCTACATCCAGTGTGCAGAATACACTGTCCCAGCTTTGAGGGTTTTCTGCAATTATGTTCACAGATATTTCCAGAAACATCTAACTTTTCAGGTCTTCCAAAGTGGTATGATAAAGAGTGATGTATTTATTCCTTTCCTGGCCAGTGCTCTGATCTATCAGAGACCACAAACATTCCTTTTTACCTTGGAACTGTGAGGAGTGTTCTCTCTGCCCCATTGTTAATAGCTCCACCACGCCAGCACTCTTCCTTGCCCTAGGAGTGCCACCCAGAGCTGTGACCCACATAAAACCATGGCAAAGAAAGAGAATTCTACCTCTACACCAGCATAGAATCACTGTAATCTCCCTCTGATCAGCCACTGAATTCCCCCTCAATCTGTGGGCTAGGATATCCAGAAGCAGCTGCGCCCGCCCCACCAGGGGTACAACCTGGAATGGGGCTGAGAATTACTTTCTCTCTCATGAGGTCACAGAATTTTCATAGTGACATTCTAAGTTGTCTTTGGAGTTCTGGGTCAAGGAATCGGGGAAACTGCCACAGCTGCCCATGATTCAGTCCCCTGAGCCCTGTACCACATTGATTTCCTACATGCCCAAGGTGAACTGTGTTTCTCTCCTAACTCTACACAATAGATCTTTATAATCAAAGGTGAGATAGAGCTTTCTTATCGACCATCCAGATTCTCTTGGAATGGACATTTGCATAATCTGTCTTTTCTGGTTTCTGCTGCTCTAGAATTTATTTAGAGCCATTTATCCAAGTTATTTCTAGGTGTTTGGGGGAGAGCTAAAGAAAGTTGCTGCATTTACTGCACTGTGTTGGCTCTGTCCCCGCACCATTTAAATAATGTTTAACATTCCTTTCAAACACAATGTTTTGGGGCCAGGTAGGTGAGTGACCACAACAAACAGCACCTGGGAAACAAGTGAAACCATTTCATTTTTGACTTTCCTATCTGGAAAGAAAATCTCAAGGACCGTATTCCAATAAGGAATCTAATAGTGATAAGTGTGCATTTAAATATAGATTCAACTTTGGGAAAACAGAGTCAACTTGGGAAAAAAGATAGGAAAGTGTGGGTTGAAAGGAGAAAAGGGAAGTCCAAAGGAAATTTAAAATAGATATACACTTGTGGCCAGGCCACCTGCAGGACCGGCCCAGCCGATGTAGGGACAGGCAAGGATGCTGCCTGCTTGGCCAGTGCTTGAGATTTTCTCTCCTGAGGCTCCTCTCTGGGCAAACCTGTGACCTCAGCTAGGAGGACAGGCAGTGAGGCAGGCCTCACCTCCTCTGTCACCCCAGTGGTCACTCCGGCCTTAAGAAGGATCAGCCTCAACCTGGCATCAGCTTTGCTGCAGACTTGTCCTGCTCTTCTGCCACATGAGTCAGAATTCTGCACTCCAGTTCTCAAAGCTGATCCTGTACCTCCTCTAGCTGTAGGAGCCCAGCCTCAGCACTTTTGTCACCAAAAAGCAATTGACGAATCCAGGCAGGGTCCTTAGACTCCACCTAGAAGCCACCAGAGGAAAGAGCTCAGCAGGGATGAGGAAGGAAGAGGGCCTGGACAGGAGGCCTGGGCTGTCTAAAGACACTCTGAGGGCCGGCACATGCCTGCCTGATGCCAAGGAAGGGATACTTGTGAAACAAGTGACTGGCATTTCTCTACTGCTTTTGAGGTCTGCAAGAAGGATCTCATTGGATCCTCTGGGACCTCATATTATCCCATTTGATAGATGGAACTGAACCTTCTTATTAGCTAGTCTTTGCTTAGATCAGAGAAATGCTGCAGAGTGGGCTTTGCAAAGCCTCAGACTGAGTCACGGCTGACAGGTGGATTTAGAAGCAGTTAAGGAGTCAGGTTAAATTAGCAAGGAAAGGAAGAGAGCATTTTCCCTAACCTCAACCTCTCAGCCCAAAGCACTGCATTTAACCCTAATTCATTCAGGGTTGATGTCAGATGGACTGTCTCAAAGGCCTGAAGAAATCTTTTCATGTGGGTTGGAAGTTTCGAGAGATTTTAACTCAAAACCTTTGTAGAGTGCTGCGGGGACCTTGGGGCACTGAACTGCTACAGGTCCTGGTGGATTGGTGCCTTCTGAATATAGTTCCAGTTCAAATCTGTGAAATGCTTAACCTAGAGTATACCTCATGGACAATGTTTATGGACATCAAATCCTGCATGAAGGAGAGGACATTTTTAATTCTCTAAGGAGTGTGACCCCAGAATCTAACCATGTCAGAGAAGAAGGATATCCTAGGCAACACCTCACAGTTAACCCGGAATTCTTAAGTGTATAAGTTCCCAAGTTTGAGACCCTGAGATTCTGACCTACTAAAGATAGAAGGGCATTTCCTGATCCAGAAAGCTCATTGGAGAAAGATGAAGATGGTCTGCATAAATAGTTACTGTGCAGTGTCCTATATGGAGAGAAAATATAGTGAGTACCTTGGACAGTGCAGGTCCGATGGACAATGGATTCTGTGTTAGCCCCAAAATATGTTTAACTTTTTTTTGGGGGGGGGGTGAGGCAGTTGGGGTTAAGTGACTTACCCAGAGTCACACACAGCTAGTTAAGTGTTAATGTGTCTGAGGCCAGATTTGAACTCTGGTCCTCCTGACTCCAGGGCTACTGCTCTGCCCACTGCACTACCTAGCTGCCCCTGTTTAACTTCTGAATCACAGAGTATCATGAGTCTAGGGGAGAAAGGATAAGAGTCTGGGGAAAGAAGGAATTACTATGATATCAAAGGGTGTCCTCAAGAACAACCTTCACCTCATCCCTTTTCAGGGGACCTCATGGGCTGTTCAGTCTTGTGTGTTTATCTGTTTATGGATATCTGTGAATCCTCTGCAACTTCTGCATTTTTGATACCTCGAGGGCTTGCAAGAGAGCAAGTCATTCACATATGAGGACACCAAAAAAAGCAGAGGCATTTTATTTGGGGGGGGGGATCCTAAGGGCTTGAGAGGATTGCCTGAGGACAATATGAGTCAACAGTGTGATGGGCCAGCCAAAAGAGTCAATGCTACCTCGGGGCATATGAGGAGAGGCACATATTCCAGGAACAAGTTGGTGACAGTCCCGGTATAATCTCTTCCTTGGACAGATCACATCTCAAGTGCTGTGTTCAGGTCTAGGCATCACGGTTTAAGAAGGACATTCATGAGCCAGAAAGTGTCCATAGAAGGGAAACCAAGGATGGCTACAGGCTTTGAATCTATCTCATATAAGGAGCAAATGAAGGAATTAGACATATTGAGCTTAGAGAAGAGGAGACTTGGTAGGGTGATACGAAAGCCGTTCTAGTATCAGAAGGGCTGACATGTGGATGAGCGTTTAGAGTTGTCCTGGATTCCCCCAAATGGAAAGACCAAATGACAATGAAGGGGTAGAAATTCAGAGATTTTTTGACTGTTAGAACTTAGAGGGATGTTTAGGGATCACCTAGCCTACCCATTCCTTCCTTATACAGTTGAGAAGATTAGCCCAAAATAGTCAAGTGAGGAGGTCAAAAGTGACTAGGGACAGTCTCAGGAAAGAATGAAAATCACAAGTGAGCATCACAATCTCTTGGTTCACTTTCATGGTGGCACTGATGTGCTTAGAAAGGAAGGGGTTGGACCTTCTGCTTCTGGGAGCCAAGATGGTGGAGTAAGAAGTAGCTCTTACCCTCCGTTGTTAACCTCTGAAAGCCCAGAAAATATCACCCCAGGAAAAAACCTGGAATAGCTGAACCAGAAGAAAGATGGGGTGCAGCAGTCCAGTAGCCCAGGTAGCTTGAGAGATTAATGGGAAAGGCCCCTATTGCCCTGGGGTTAGGGGAGCAGTACAGAATGTGAGGCATCCCGGCAAGCTAGCAGAAAGCCCCACCTCAGCATACTAGGGGAAGATCCTGAAACACAGGTGGTTGAGCAGGCAAACACCAACACCTGGACCCCCTAGTGCCTCAGTGAGGGTGGGGGAACTGTTGGAAACCAGCTTGGAAAACCACCAGGTGCCTCGGCATTCTACAGCACCCAGGTCTCCCACTGCCTCAGCAAAAGTACTATCCACTATCAGTGGATAGAGTACCAGCCCTAGATTCAGGAGGACCTGAGTTCAAATCTGGCCTCAGACACATAACACTAGCTGTGTGACCCTGGGCAAGTCATTTAACCACATTGCCTAGACACAACAAAAAAATGAATAAGGGAAGCAAGCTCCAAGGGGCCCCAGATGGATAAACATCCTGCAACATCCATCTGAAAGGAGCTGAAGAAAGCAAAACGAAAAGAAAGGCAGGCACCTCCAGGGGCCAGACTACCCAATCCAACCCCTAGAGTCCCAGTGTTGCTGATTCCAGCCCAACACCAGGTAAGCTGCCAGAACCCTACAGCCTCCAACTGCCAACATTGGAGGCCCCAGCACACAAAACCAGTGACCAAGGCCTTAGGCTCCCAACATAAGAAGCTTGGGTCAGTGCCCTCTGCTCCCCAGCAGGAGAGCCCAATCTCTTTAAAGGCCAGGAAATAAACAAACACCATGAGCAAAAAGAAACGTACCATAGATTCTTATTATGGGAAGAGTGAAGATCAAGGCAGAAATTCTGAAGAGGACAACATTGTCAACAAACCCACATCTGGAACCTCAAAAGGGAATATGAACTGGTCTGAAGCCCAAAAAGCCTTCTTAGAAGACCTCCAGAAGGGTTTTAAAAGTCAAATAAGAGAGGTAGAAGAAAAAATGGGAAAAGAAATGAGAGGTATGCAAGAGAGAATCAATAGCTTGGAAAAAGAAGGACAAAAATTAACTGTAGAAAACAAGCCCCTAAAAACTACAATTGGCCAAATGGGGAAGGAGGTACAAAATCTAACAGAAGAAAACAATTTGTTAAAAAGTAGAATTGGGCAAATGGAAGCTAATGACTCTGTGAGAGCCAATCAGCAATAATCAGTCAAACAAAAACAAAAGAGTGAAAAAAATAGATGAAAACATAAAATACCTCATTGGTAAAAACTGACCTGGAAAATAGATCCAGGAGAGATAATTTAAAAATTATTGGCCTACCTGAAAATCATGACAAAAAAAACAGCCTGGACAGCATCTTTCAGGAAATCATCAAGAAAAACTGCCCTGAGGTCCTAGAACCAGAGGGTAAAATAGTCATCAAAAGAATCCACCAGTCACCTCATGAAAGAGATCCCAAATTGAAAACACCAAAGAATATAGTAGCCAAATCCCAAAATTACCAGGTCAAAGAGAAAATACTGTAAGCAGCCAGAAAGACACAATTTAAATATCATGGAACCACAGTCAGGATTACACAGCTTCTACATTAAAAGACCATAGGGATTGGAATATGATATTCCATAAGGCAAAGGAACTTGGATTACAACCAAGGATCAATTACCCAGTGAAAATGAGCATGATCTTTCAGAGGAGGAGATGGACATTCAATGAAATGTCCTTCCAACCAAACCTTCCTAATAAAAAGACCAGAGCTCAACAGAAAATTTGATCTTCAAATACAAGACTCAAGAGAGACATAAAAAGGTAAACGGGACAGAAAGAAACAACATGTTATTAATAAGGTCAAACTATTTACACCCCTACAGAGGAATATGACACTTGTAACTCTTGAGAACTGTATTGTTATTACATCATATTAGAGGGGTATACATAAAGGGGTGGGTATAAATTGACTTTGTTGTAATATTAAAAGAAAAAATCTAATCAAGTGGGTTAAATGGATCCAAGTCAGTGGATTAATCTGATCTAACTAAGCAAATGTACTGAGAGAAAAGGAAAGGAGGATACAGACAAGGGTAAATTACATTGCAGGAAAAGACACAAAAACTGATTACAGCAGAGGGAAGGGGGGGAGATGAGTATTGTTTGAACCTTACTCTCATCAGATTTGGCTCAAGAAGGGAATAACATAATCAGTTAGGTATAGAAATCTAACTTGCCCTATAAGCAGTAGGAGGGAAAAGGGGAAAGAAAAGTGAGGAGTCTAATAGAAGGCAGATGGGACTGAGGGAGGCGGTGGTCAAAGGCAAAACACTAGTGAGGAGGGAAAGGAGAAAGAAAAGCATAAATGGGGGGGGAGGATGGAGAGAAAGACACAGATAGTAATCATAACTGTGAATGTGATATATGAATGTAATGGAATACTATTGTGTTAAAAGAAATGAACAGGTAGACTTCAGAAAAACCTAGAAAGATTTTTATGGTCTGATGCTCAGTGAAGTAGAACCAGGAGAACATTACACACAGTAACAGCAACATTGTGCAATTACTAATATTGATAGACTTAACCCTTCTCAGCAATACAAGGATCTAAGACATCTCCAAAGGCCTCATGATGGAAAATGCTATCTGCATCCAAAGAAAGAACTATGGCATTTGGATGCAGATCAAAGCATACTATTTGCTATTTTTTTTTCTTCTGTGTTTTGTTTCCTCTTTCTGGTGGTTCTTCCTACTGGTTCGAATTCTTACAACATGACTAATATGAAACTATGTTTAATAGGAATGTATATATATAGTCTATATCAGATTGTGCACCATCTTGGGGAGGGAGGTGGGGAGGGAGGGGAAAAAAATTTTTAACTCAAAAGCTTATGGAAGTGATTGTTGATAAATCAAAATAAATTAACAGTTTAAAAAAAGATTAAAAAAAAAAAGAAAGGAAGGGGTTGCTGTCTGGGCCAAGGCATCCATCTCGCCCTCTCCCCCCTTCTCTTCACTTCCAGGCCCCAGCTGCCTGAAAGGTTGGCCATCAATAAGTTTATTTTCCCCAAGGTAGAAGCAACACAAGGGATTATTCAACTTGTTTACCCATCTCTGTCTTCTGCACCTGAGCTTTATTCCCTTGGAAGATGCAATTTATCATGCCAAGGGATTTGATCTAAAATGAAAATAATCAATCAATCTCTCTCTCTCTCTCTCTCTCTCTCTCTCTCTCTCTCTCTCTTTCTCTTTCTCTTTCTCTCTCTCTTTCTCTTTCTCTCTCTCTCTCTCTTTCTCTTTCTTTCTCTCTCTCTCTCTCTCTCTCTCTCTCTCTCTCTCTCTCTCTCTCTCTCTCTCTCTCTCTCTCTCTCTCTCTCTCTCTTTCTCTTTCTCTCTCTTTCCCTTTCCCTTTATAAGCCTCTTACCCTTTAGGTAGATCAACTGGCTCCACCTGGCTACTTCTCATCTATATACAAGTAGGTCCCATGGCCCAATCCCACAGCTCCCAGAGCAGGGTGAGTTGCTACTTTAACCATCCTTGCGGTAGCTCTGCCTAAACTGTAGACTCTCAGAACTTGAGGTCACTCCAGGGTCACTCATTTTGAGGAGGAATAAACTGAGGCTCAAGGTAACTACATCAGACCAAAATCACCTTCTTTTACGGTGCTCAGAAATTATTTACTCTAACCCCTTTATTTTGCAGAGGCAGGAATTGAGGCCTGGAGAGGGGGAAGGGACCTACTCAAGGTCACTACATGAGTCAGAGGCAGAATGAAAAGCCAGGTCTCATGTTTACTTTGTAAATGGACTGGACTAGGTTGGGAGACAGGAGGAGAATGCACATGAGAGCTTTCGACATATGCCTGAATGTTTTTCCTGTGGAATAGGTCATGGGCTTTTTCTATATCCCAGGGGCCATAATTGGTAACAATAGTTGAGCATAAACTGGAGGATGACTCATACAGTCTGTTGTAGAGGGGACCTTTGGCCATATATGGCTTGGGTGAGATGACCTCTAAGGTCCCCCACAGTTCTCAGATTTAGCATATCTATAATTCTGTCTTCCTCCTCTTTCCTCTTGGATAAATGTGGGTGTTTGAACTCAGGAGAGGAAAGGGGGAGTCATAAAAAGTTCTGGGAGGCCATAGAAAATAAGTTCAAGAGTTTCAGGATCTGGATCTGTGACAGATAGGTAATTCTAGGTCTCTAGTAGACTCACAATGTCCAGCCAAACCCAGATTCAGGGTGACTGAGTTTGCTTGGATATGCTAATGTTTGAGGAGGAAAGTGATCAAGAGACAGACTGGGCTGAGATGGAGAAGACCTGGGACCCTAGTGTCAAGGGGATAGAGAGTGGGCAGGAAGCACATGAAATAAAGGGAGACTAAGAATGAACTAGAAGCAGGATATGGAACAGGATCTAGGAGAGGATGGACAGAAGTGAGAAAGTTAGAAGACAGCAGTTGGGTTTAATGTCAGAGTACCTGGGTTTGAATTTAGCTCTGCACTTACTACCTATTTGGCCTTGGACAGGTCACTTTTGCACTGTTTCCTTGGTTTCCATATCCATTGAATGAAGGAATTGGACTTGATGAGATCCCTAAAGTTCCTTTCAGCAGTAAATACCACTTCTTCAAGAAGCTAGAAATGGTACGTGCCCACCCAACTCCTGCCTGGTTTGTTATCCACCAGGACATAGTATGAGCCAACCATTCAAGGACAGTTAGGTAAGAAAAGGAAAGAGCGAGTGATGGGGGCAACCAAGTGGTGCAGTGGATAGAGCACTGGCCCTGGAGTCAGGAGAAGCTGAGTTCAAATCCAGTCTCAGACCAGACACTTGACACTTACTAGCTGTGTGACCCTGGGCAAGTCACTTAATCCCAAAAAAAAGGGGGGGGGAGTGAGTCAGGAATCAGAAGAGAGGAGTTGGGAAGTGAATACCTGCAAACTTTAAAGACAGGGAGGAAATCACTAGTACACAGCAGTCAACAAGTTCAGCCTATTTAAGCTTTATTATAGATGGGAAAATACTAATTTCTGGGAGCTATAGACCTGCCTCTTCAATCTCACCAAGCCTCATAACATCAACAAGTCTATTTGGTCTGCAGCAGAAGAATCACAGCTCTAGCGACTTCCTTACCTGTGTTGGGCTTCCTTCCCCAGTGCCCAGTCCCCAGTCCCTTGGGGAAGATGATTTCTGAGGCTCCTGGCACTTCAGCATTCAATGCAGACAATCTCCCTCAGATGACCTGAGTGTGACCGTCTCTAAGCCTAACTCTAAATGCTTCCCACCCAATTCTCAGAGTAGGATGGCATCCCCATGGGCTTCCTCCAAACCATAGTGTATTAGAGATCTCCATAGCTATTTCTTTTGAGAAGAAAGGAAAACCTGAGGCTCAAAATCACTGAGTCATGGACCACCTAGTTCAAACAGGGTTAAAACACCATCTAGTCTGAGCCCCTCATTTTAATTTTGTTTAAGCAATGCATGTTTTTTTTAAAACCACCACCATTATATCCCCTGAAAGAGACATAGATAAGCAAAACTGACATTGAGAATAACCATATCTGACAGGATAGGCAACATTCTGCACTCCTAGTCATTTACACACATACCCATATGCCCACACATATGTGCACACACATGCACATGTTTGCACACATACATACACATGTACTCACATGCACACACACACCCCTCTACCAAGAGGAGGGATATGTTTATTACCCTCTCTTCTTTAGGCCAAGGATCTGGCATTGACATTCGTTGAGTTTCCATGGTCTTTGAGGGCTGACATTCGTGGAGCCCTAACCCTAACCTTAACCCTAACCCTCCCAAGGCTTCCAGCCATATCAATAGGATCTATACACAATAAAAGTCAGTCCTTCCTCTAGAGGGGCCAGAGGAAGGCTCAGGGATTGGATCATGTGGATGAGAGGAAAGATGTGGAAGAGCAGTCAAGGGAGTCGGCAGCCCCAGCAGCGTGGTGACCTTGGGTAGGTACTTCTTCTTAGAGCTCCTAGGAGAGTGTGTGGCTGCAGAGGGTGGATATTCACTTGAGCATTGGGAGTATCTGGGTCCTGCTTGGTGATAGCTTGGTCCTGGATCTGCCTGATGTATATCAGGAAGGGAGCTGACAGAAAATGTCAAGATGGCCTGAAGCAAACCTGAATAAACCAGTCTTACCAGCAGATGGGCATCCAGCCATGGGTGGGACAAAGAAGCAGCATTCCTTGGTAACTTCCGGCTGGGAGCAGCTGGGTCCTCAGGCCCAAGATACTTTCCACACATGTCCTATCCTCTGCTGTTCACTCCTCCTCTGCTCTGCAGAAAGCCTCTGTTGGTTGCACTTCTTCCTTTTCATTTAGGCACCAATATGGAGGCTGGTCAAAGCACGAGTCCCTGGTCATAGCCCCATGGGGGCCTGGAGCAATGGAGGGTGAGTTAACTGACTGGATGCTATCTATCCCTGGGGATCCCTAGGGTCCAAGCCCCATAACCAGGCCATTATGTTCCTCTTATCTTTGAAGCTTACATCAATTTCAACCTTGATCTCTGCCACAGGACCACAGAATGCCAGGCTTGCCGGACCTCCCAGAGGCCACCCAGTCTCCCCTTCACATCTCCCTCCAGAGTCAACTGAGCCCCTTCTTTACTTCTGTAAGGCTAGAGAGCAGGCCTTCCATGTGTAGAGAGAGCCCAAAGAGAGGCAGAATCAACATCTATAGCTTCTTCTCCACTTACTCTCCCTTTTCCAAAGGACACTTTAATTCCTGCCACAAGATGAACCACGAGGTTGGGGCTGGAGGCTACCACTCTGCTCTCCTCAGAGAGAAGGGACACTGGGCTATAACTCTGTGCTTCCTTGAATATTGATTGTCTAGGGGATAGAATCAGGCTGCATCTAACTTTTGATCACTCTGTGATTTGGGGGGGGGAAGGAAACCCCAACTTCTATATCCAAGGCTTGACCCCTTCCCCATCTAATTAATACCAGTTCCACAACACACACACATAGCAAATAAACAAATTGTAGCAAAACAGAAATCATAGGAGGTCTCCACAGCAGAATATGGACCAGACAATCCAGAGTGATGGTGCTTGGAATCAGCTTCTACTGGCTCATAAAAGACAATTGTTTTTCTGTACGAGCATTTTTGTCTCTGAAATCAGCAAATGTCCCAAAGCAGGGCTTCATTCACTATCTTGTTGATTTTTAGATAAAAACAAGATGGAGAACATTTTAATAATGCAAATTAACCGAAAAGTGTGTCCTGCATACATTTTTTTCAGACAGCCAGTTGTTACAGATTTACCAGCATCTCCCCTCATGTCAAGGCAGAACAACAAAGCAGACTCTCTGATAAGCCCTCTAAGAAAGTGCCCTTTCATTCTTCTATTTCCTGGAATGAAATTCCTCATTCTTGTATCTTATTCCCAGAACCAGGAGGACCCAGTGCTCACCACAGCCTCAGACTTCCTTTATGAATGCAGTCCAAGAGAAAGCTGGGAACTTGGTCACCTGGGTCCTGAGGAGTCCTTCCTTTCCCAAGAAACCTTCCCAGAAGCTGTCAGCCAGAGCAACTTCTGGATAAAGAAAGGATGTCTCACACTGGAAGTTCTGTGAGCAGGCCAAGGGAACAGGCATCTCAGGGGCCAAACCTGGAGAATACCTTTCCCCACCCCCGCCACTGCCAGTGCCCTAACCCTCATCCATCACTGTCTGCAAGGGGTTTCTTTAGTGTGGGAAATGACTTCTTGCCATTTATTGAATAATTTATTAATTCTTATAGAGGGAAACCGAATTGTGAGGTGTGGCAATGTGACAATTTGTGGGGGAGGGAGTTGGGGGCTCCCCATTATCTCTTTACTTTGCCCTTGACAATTTGGGGGTGGGGCTAAGAGTGTGCAGTACCTGTGTAGCTAAGGCTGAAGGTGATCAAGGCTGCTATCTCTGTGAGTCGAGCAGTCAAAATTGGCTAAGACTGGCTTTGAGGAAGCAATCCAGACCAACCTGAATTCATCCATTCAGGAGTTCGAGGAGCCCCGGGGCCACTGAGAATCTGATGCTGCAAGGGGTCCCCAAGCCCAGCCCCCTCCCAGCACCTTCCAAGAGGGCCAAGAAGGAAAACTCCAGCTCTGGTGTCAGGCCAGGCCAACGATTTCCTTTCTCTTCCTTTGTTTCCCTTTTGGGGAATGTTTCATCTCAATCCTTCTGAATTAAGTTCAGACCTCTGTTAGCAGGAGTGTTGAACTTGCTTAGAAATGCATCTTGTGAAGATGCATGTCATCTCTCAGACATTCCTGTCACAGATACCCTGGAGAGGGTGACGATCTGGCTGGTAGATGTCTTTGGTGATATCAGGGAGATCACTCCAATCTCAGCACCTGCTCTCTTTCCACAGCTCCTCTCTGTGGGCTCAAAGACTGCAGGACTGAGCCCACATAGGGACCAACTCAGGTCCACAAACATTTATTATATTAAGCATTTACTATGTATGAATGTAGATTTTCTTATGCTCAATAATGTCCCATTGTAATCACATCCCAAAGTGTGTACAGCCATTCCCCAGGAGCTAGTCAATGCTGTAGTTTACATTTTTGGGTTCCTATAACAAGACCTGCTATAAATACTTTGGTACAGACATTCCTTTTCCTCTTCCCTTGATCTCTGTGGAGAGATCTCTTTGGAGCCTTAGCAGTGGTATAGCTGGGCCAAAGTGGTATAGCCACTTTGGGGCCTCCAACATTTCATAGCTCCACTCACAGTGTACAAAGTACCTCTTCCTAGAGCCGTGGAGGAGCAGTTTGGATTCGATTTGGAACCAGAACTGGGCTTCACAAAAAGCATTGTTCTCTTAATGAAG